ATTCAAAATTAAACAGAAAATATTAACTTTCATATATGCTAAATTATTTAGTTACATTAATTTTCATGTAAAAAAAAATAACATTATCTTTTTACTACATATATGCTAAATTATTTTTTATTTTAATTTTAATTTATAATTATTAAAAAAATTAATTTTAATATCACAATTTTGTTACTTGACTAAGTAATAACTACAAGTAGTATCACTCATGCACACTCTTTAACAATTTTTGTTTAATTTTGAATAACATATTAATAATGAATTAATATTACTTAATTTTTAAAATAGACGAACTAATTATAATATTTTTTTATGAAAATTAATATTACACATTTAAAAATTTTAAAATGAATTTAACTTTCTTTTTATAAATCACATATATTTTTTATTAGACATAATTTGCCCCAATGACATTAAGAAGGTTTTGAAGGATAAAAATCCCATAATATTCAACGCGCATATTTAAGAACTGAACTTAAGCTACTAATTATATTAGAAAAATTTAAACCAATAATTATTAATCTTCAAATTTTAAGATTTCAAATTCGAATTTTGAGTTTTTTTTATAAAAAATGATTTTGAAAAAATGATCTTAATACAGTGATCTTACTGTTTCCTATCAGTATCATGCTAAAAAAACATTTGAAAAATCAATTACATTCGTAAGATGAATAAAATATATTGGTAAGATTATTAATACAAAATAATATCTAAACAAAAAATCTACAATAAACATATGGTTGTGGTGCTTAGTAGTGGTTAGAATGTTATCCGAAAAAAGTAATTGTGAATTGTACGGTTAAATTTTGGACCACAAAGCATTGGGTCGCATAAAAAACACGTTTCCACCAAACACAGTAAAACCTTAAAGATTCACCATCCAGTAATTGTTACTCACAGCTAGTGCCTTTATTACTTTATCTGTTTTTCTATCAGGTGTGGTGTGGGGACCATTACTTTGACGAAGAAACTAGAGACTTGTTGACGTGGAAACAAAGATAAAGAAAGAAAATAATAAATGCAATGAAGACGAGATATTAAATTAAGAAAGAGATATCAAAATTGGAATTTGGTATGAAAGAGAATATTATTAAAAAATGTAATTGTTAATATATTAAACTTATAATATGACTACATAAATTTTCAATATTTTTTTTTTAATCAAATCCTTTTCCTTGTATTTATTTTATGATCACTTTATAGTAAATATCTAAAATAGAATAAAAAAAATGTAGTACTTTATTGGTATTTCGAAATGGTAACTAAAATGAATTTTTTTTATTAAAATATTGTATAAAATAAAATGGAATAACATCATGAAAGTTTGAAACAATACAACATATTAATAATTTATGTAAAATATTAATAGATATAAATGTAAAAAAAAAAACAATTAACAATATTACTTTAAAATAAACTAATACTTATTTTTAAACTTATTTTTCCTTGTTGCGTTATACTACTTCCATTTGTTTATAAAACTAATTTAAAATTACACAAAAAAATATTTTTTTTTCTATTTTTATAAATGATTTTGAAGTTTTTTATTAAATTTTTCATTTTTATTTATAATAAATGTATATTAGTTGTAAATATGTAAATTAATTAATATTAAGGATATTACTAATAATAATATTGTTTAAAATTTTAAAATTATAAATAAATAAAGATACAATTCTTTAAAAAAATCAAGAACTAAAAGAAATATAGATGGATTATTTAATTTACACACACATGTAGCAAAAAAAAGTGAGTACTGACAAAGCTGAGTCCTTTGAAACGCATTTGGAGGTAGTACAAGGAATCAGGAACGTAAAGAAATTAAAGAAATAAAATAAAAAGATAAGATAAAGAAAATAAGTAAATTAACAGATATAATAATTTTGTTATTTTATTAAATTTTAGTTAATATTTAAAAATATGTTTAAAAGCTAATATTTATCCAGTTGAATCTATGAAGTAGTTTCTCGATCCTTGCCCTCGCATCATGGTAACATAACATTGCCATGTCACTTTGCTTGTGTCGTTTTGCACATAATTTTTAAAGGACATTATCCTTTGTCTGACAACATTATTGCCAATGTCATGTCGTTTGCTGGTCATTATCTTAGGAAATATTTATTTTCATAAATTTAATTTCTTTGTAGCGTTCAATATGTTTTCGACATACGTAAGTAAATAGTTTTAATTTTGATTTTTATAAAAAAATTATTTTTTTATTTTTCTAAAATTTATAACTTCCATTTTAATTTTTACTATTTTGAGATAAATCTCAACAATTTATATATTTATTAAAAAGTTAAATGATAGTTTCGATATATTTATTATTATATCTTACATTCCAATGTTAGTATATAATATTTTTGTTTTTTTATAAATTATTAAAAGAAGTATTATTTATATATCTTTAAATAACTACTAAAGACTAAAATTATTGATTTAAAATTTTAAAAGAATAAAATTTAAAATAATATTTTATGAAGATCAAAATCAAAATTTATTCACTTTACATAAATTAAAAATAATATTTATAAATTTTAAAATAATAAAACAAATATTTTTAGTAAAAAAAATCACTATTATAATATATTTAAGCATTCTTCAAAAATATTATATATATATATATATATTAAAATAAGATAAACTATTAATTTGATTTTAGAAGTATATTTTTTTTCCTAAATAGCCCACAAACTACTAAAATTATAAAACAAACTAAAGTATTAAAAATTGTGACATAATTCCGTAAGTTTTTTTTTTCTTCAAATGAATCCCTCTATGTCAGCAAAGTGTATGTTAATTCCCGGACTAAAGTTACGAATATTAAATATTTTTAAATTATTTATAAAATATAATTAAATATTAGAGATGTCTCTTTTTTTATGAATTATTATTTTTTATATAAATTTTAGAGATGTCATTTAAATTACAAAATAGATCAACAAGTGAGAATGACTTATTTTTCTAGTAATAAAAACAAATAGATGTTTTTGGTGAACGCATGTATCACGTGCTCTAATTAACATCCATATATTGAGATGATAGGTCACTATAGTGGACCCCAAAAGAAAGTGTGTTTATTATTTGTTGGTGTTCAAGACACACTTTGTGTTTATCTGTATTTTTTTTTTAAAAGAAATAATTTTTTTATATAAAATATGAACCATTGTACTGGAGATATATTTTAGGAATTTTTTATGAGAATTTTTTTAAGAATTTTTTTAATTTATTTAATTTATCTATCATAATTATTTATAAATGATATTTTAATATTTTTAAAATAAGTTAAAAAAAACTATATGATATTATATTTATGATTATGTATATTAAATTTTAAAATATTTTTAGACTCTTTTTAGATATAATATCTAAAAATAGATATTTATATCTGTTTTGAATTTTATTTTATATGCTAAAATAAAATTAATGATATCATAAATAACTAAATAATTTTAGAATTATATACAATTATATATACTTAATCTAATTTGTAATATCATTAAATACAACAATTATATTAGTTAAATTTGTAACCTATAAAAAATTATTAAAAATTTTATTTTACTAATTTGATATCATAATATCAACAAATTCTCACTACATATATAACGTCAGAATAACATTTTTATAGGAATAAAAATTATCACCCTAAATCATAAAATTAAAATAAAATATTATTTTCATTAAAATATATCATAATCACTCAGGTATCAAATTAATTTTCTGAATTTATTTTACTCACTCACTCAACCATGAGTGTTGTGACCACCACACCTTCATTATTGTGATCATCTTAAACTCTAAACTTTAAATTTGGCTGTACCAGTTATATTTTATTGCATTCAAAATTTATTAGACATCTAAATACAATATCAACATGGATATTTTTACAAGGGAGTTGCTATTGTATCCCTGATAAATGAGGGGTTTTGGTATTGTAGCTAATGTGTATATGTACACATCATCTAAATACCATGTCAAATGTCATGTCAACCTTTTAAATAAAAATTATTTTATATTTAAATTTTTACATTATTTATTTTTAAGTTTTTATTAATATTTTTATAATTATACGATCTCCTCTCCCCTCCCTCCGTCTCCCACCTCTCCCTCTCACCTCCGTTTCCCACCTCTCCCTTGCCCCTCTGTCTCCCACTCCCCTCCCCTCACCTCCGCCTCAACCCCTCTCCCTATTTCTTGAACTCCCTCGCCACAGCTGTTTACCACTCCTCCCTCCCCTCCTCCTCCGCCCTCCACTATTCCCTCCTCTCCACCGTCGACCATGACTCCTCCAAGGTTACCTTTGTCTCTGACGACATCCTCGTCCTCCGCGGCACCATCGGCGTCAACCTCGGCTCCTCCGACGCCGACGCCGTCAACCAGAATCTCGTGGAGGAGACCAACCGCATCCTGGCCGAGATCCGCTCCGACGCCGACCCCAACGACCCCGACGAGCAAGCCCCCTTGAACCCTAACGTGACCTACAGCCTGGGTCCCAAGATCCGCAACTGGGACGAAGAACGCAAGGCTTGGCTCCTCCAAAACCCCGAATACCCTAATTTCGTGAGAGGTAAACCCCGCATCTTGCTCCTCACTGGTTCCCCTCCCAAGCCCTGTGATAACCTTATTGGGGACCATTACCGCTGAGAAGAAGAAACACGAAGCAAACATTTCAAAAAAAAAGAAGAAACACGAAGCAAACACTCCGAAAAAATATTAAAAAACTTGAATTTCATTATAATTGACGTGGATATTGAATTGTAAATAATTATAAAATTATAAGTGATTTGGATCACACATCATCGACACGTCATCAACAGTACCGGTACCCTTCTTTTACACGGGGTACCGTAGAAATTCTCTTTTTACAATTGGTAGTGTTTGTTTTATCTCTTAAAAAAGAGTCTCTCTTGCTCACATAAAAGAAAAAACAAAATAGCAGACCGTAAAAAAAAATTGACCCTTTAGCGAGCTAGGAGGTGTTGTGTATATATCTATTTAAAGAGGCAAAGCTTGGAGAAGGAAGCAGCAAAAGTTAGTTGTGAGTTGTGAGAAGAAGAAGAGATCGATGAATATGAAGGCAGTTGTTTTGGCTGTTGCTACAATTTTGGTAGCATCACAGTGCCATGGCTCAGAATACGAATTTTACCCTCTGGAATTGAGATCTGATGGCCTCACTGTCCACTACCCTCCAGAGGTATGGTGCCCAAGTTGGAGGCTTGCAGCGGAAGCACACAACTATATTAACTGGAAAACTGTTCCTCAAAAATGCGCAGAATACGTAGAAAGCTACATCCAAGGAGATCAATATGACTCAGACTCCAAATATGTTAACCAACAAGCTTATTTTTTTGCTAAATCCATCAAAAGGAATGAGAATGACGTTTTCATTTTCAGCGTAGATGGAACCGTACTGTCTAATGTCCCATATTATTCTAAACATGGATATGGGTACGTATATTATATATATTTATATTTATATGCATGCTCTTTAATTTCTTCTTCGTTTATACTATAAGCAATTATGCATGCTATATATGGAATGAAATAAAGTTATGTATTATTATAGGGTGAATCCATATAATGCGACTGTGTACGATGCATGGGTTCTGAAGGGTGAGGCACCGGCACTGGCACAGACTCTTAAAAATTACAACAATCTGTTGTCTCTTGGCTTCAAGATTGTGTTCCTAACAGGAAGAACAGTGGATAAGAAGGCTGTAACCGAAGCCAACTTGAAGGAGGCTGGTTTCCACACGTGGGAGAAGTTGATTCTCAAGTGAGTGACTTGATCATTATTATTATTATTATTATTATTTTCTAGCTATATATAATTTATATATTGATGTTGGACGTATATATTATTGTAGGGATCCAATTGCATACAATGGTCAGAACGCAGCTTCATACAAAGCAGCTGAGAGGAAGAAGCTGACTAAGGAGGGATGGAGAATCGTTGGTAACATTGGAGACCAGTGGAGTGATATAACCGGACGCAACGTTGGCCTCAGGACCTTTAAGTTGCCTAACCCAATGTACTTCATTGCTTGATCACCTTCATCTACCTTAACATGCATAGCTTACTCCTATATAAATATATTAAATAACTCAAATATATAGGAGCATGCCATGCACCACCTATCATGTTCATGTATGAAGTGTGTTGTTGGGGTGTACGTATGTAAGTGAAGTCACGTAATTAGGGACATGTTTTCTCTTTCGCGTCTTGCTCTTGCTTAATAAACTACAGTATGCCCTTCTTCCGGTTACAGATTAATTCTCCCTTTAAAGTCTTCTTTTACTTTTTCAACTGAAATTAAACCAGTTTATTATTAAACTAAAACTAATATTGTAATTGTCTTAAACAATGTACTAATTATAATAATCAGCTAAATTTTTAAAACATGAAAAAAAAGGTAATTTACATTTTCCAAAAAAAATGCATCCCGATGTCTAGAGTAAGTAGTAGGGCTTGCCATATGAATATCATGGGATATATATATATATATATATATATATAAGAATTGAACTTTTAAATTAATATTTAGTATAATTATTTTATATTGGAGATTATTTATTACAAATCACGTGTTGAAAAATAAATGCATAAAAATCAAAATAATTATTGTTATTCTTAAATAAATGTTAACATTATATTTAACTATATGATAAAATGTCAACCAGTCATTCTTCTTTAAATAACTAGACTTGATCTCTCTCTATATATATAGACTAAAGACCCTACTATAAAAGTCGTTGCACCAATAACATGAGATGTGAAAAATCGGTCAATTTTTGCAACTTGTAAATTAAAAAAATGATTTAATGGTTATTTTATCCTTTAAAATATTTAAATTTTAATTTAATGATGTTTTCTCAAAATTCACCATTAGATTAAAATTCTGTATTATTTTTTATGTGTATGTTAAATTTTGGTAAAATTGAATAATAATAAAAAATTTAATCAAACTATTTATATTTTATTATATTTTTAAAAAAATTTAAAAGCATGTATTACATCAATTTTGATTTATATGAATGAGGTATTTAATAATTTTTTATCAACATAATTTTTTCAATATATGATCTAAGTAAAATGAAGTTTCAATCTAATAATAGATTTTTATAAATCAAATTAAAAATTATTGAAAAGTGTGACAATTGTAAAAGTTACACTAGTGTAATTAAAACCCTCTCCATATAATTATTTTAGCAAAATTAATAATAAAATTTAAAATAATAATTATATATGCATGTAAATATATTAATCTATATTGTCTATAATGGTAACCACATTCTATTTACTTAAAAAATGAAAAGAAAAAAAAATAGTAACTAACATTTTTATCATTTTTTCCCCACTCTTTTAATAAATGCTCACTACATTGCCTCTTTTTGAAAAAAGAAACATATACACCAAATTTTTTTTACCCTGCTAACATTACATAACGAAATCAAATAATTTATAATGAGTTGCGGAAAACTAGAAAGAAAATAATGAGCTAATAACATATACTACTATAGAAGAAGAGACATGACCAAAAATGTTTTACTCAAACTGTTTGATACTTTTATCGCTCAATTAAGGAAAAGAGTTGCTCTTCCGTTAATATATAAAATTACTATTGAAAATATCAATTTATTATTTATTCATGTAGGTTATAGTTTATACCTTAAAAAAATAAAAATAAAATAAAAAATAAATAAATAAAGGGACGCGGAGAAAGGATTGGAAAAATGAGAAGTGGGCCATTGGGCCGACAGTTGCGATAATGGGTCAGTAATGAGTTGGTCGGGAAATAATTAACTGACAGTGACACACACAACGCTGTTCGACCACGGATCACTTAAAAAAACAAAAACATTAACATGAGGAAACAGACAGTTCCGTACTTTCGTTACCTAAAAATTAAAGGTTTAAATATGTTTAAATTACTTCTAATTAGGTCAATTTTTAGATAATTACCTTTTAATTTTTTTATTTTAATTATTTGATAATTTTTTTTTTAATTTAGTACCTGACATTAATTTTCCTCCGTTAAGTGATGACGTGATAGACGGATTGTCATGTCATCACCTAACAATGTCTGCTACATCATCTAAGAGACTGCCACATGGACATGGTGATGACGTGGCAAACACTATTGGATGATGGACTGCCACGTCATTACTTGATAGAGAGGAACCAATATCAGGTACTAAATTAAAGAAAAAAAATTGTCAGGTATTTAAAACAAAAAATAATAAATTAATAGGTAGTAATCTGAAAACTAACCTAATTGAAGGTAGTAATCTGAAAATCAACCTAATTGAAAGTAGTTTGAATATAAAATAAAAAACAATAATATTTTATTCCTTGAAAAAAATTTAATGGACTTTTGAAACGTTGATATTTTAAAATGCTGGTTAGAATAGCCAGTGAGATTTTTGGGTTGTGCTTATTGAACTTGAAGTTGAAAATTTGTGTGGATGTAGATGTGTCTAGTTATTCTGCATTAAGTTTCTTGTTTTTATCATATATATGTGTGAGTTATGATGGATTTTACACTGCATTATGTTGAATTTTAACCGGCTGGAATGGATTGTTCATGATATAGTGATGTTTGAGTTGGTTTTGAACACCACTGGGATTATTCTTAGTGTGGAAAATTTGCTAGGATGATCTTGATCCAGTATTGAAATTATTAAAATTCCTACAAACCGTGAAATTAGACTTCAAACTTGAAAGTCGCATACAATACCGTGACTCGTTTATTTAGCATGAGTATGATTCATTTGCGGGCCGGCTTGAAAAAACTTAAGATGTTAGATATATAAGGATGATGTTTTTAGTTCAAACAAGTCCAAATTCGTTTATTTCTTATTTTTAATATGTAACATTGGGACATATTATCACTTATCATTGGTGATATTTGAATGACACACTCTGACATATTTACTGCAATTACAATATTGAATATCTTTACCGGATGATTTTGAGTTATTTTATTTTTTCTAACATTATCATCCATAACACTATTTGTCTTTGAATACTCAATTTGAAGAAACTAAAAAAAATGTTAAATATCTATTATAAACAATTTATAATGTTTAGCATTGAAATAAAATTTAAAAAGTTCAACTTATCAATAAATAAAATTATTTATTTATTTTCTTAAATGACTCTCGCTCTAGAGCCAAATCTAAAAGGACAATACTACCATAAGGGTATGCAGTGTACTAACAAAAGCCAAATGTCCACCTATTAAGTTCCCTTTTTCCTTTTAAATTAACAATTAAAACCTTTCAAACAACTATAAAGAGTTATACAACAACCCTTTGTCTTTTCAATATGAATCAAAATCATAAACATTTAGAAAACTATAGTTTGGCAAGCAAATAAAAGGTTAGATAATTTAAAAATTACTTGCATGGTATATATTTGGCAGTAAATAAATGAGGCAATGGGATATTTAGCATTGAAAGAGAAAAAAAAAAGTCAAGAAGAATAGTCACAGAGGAAGAAATATATATACAGCAGAATTTTTCAAAAAAAAATTCAATATATGTATGAGGCATAACATGTTCAGCTTGGATGGTGATTAAATTTTAGAAACCAATAATCACTCACAGTATACGATGCATTAGATAAATCCATCAATTGAATCAATTAAACATTATTTCATATCTTAATTGAATCAAATCAGTAAATTAGCAATTACACTAAGGTCATTAATAATTGTATGCGATAAGTGTTAACTTACGTCTCAGCAGAGAGTAATATATAAATCAACTAAAAACAATAAAGTTATGTCAATCAACTCAAAAATAAATTAAGAAATTTGATATGAAAAGGAAATAAGAATTACTTAATTTTAAAACCTAGTAATATCAATCTACTTAATTTATAGTAATAACAATGAACTTAAAAACATATTAAAAAAAGACTAATATCTATTTAATATACAATCATGTTAAAAAGTGCTTTAAGTTATGTATAAATACTTTTCATTCAGGTTAAAACAATATTATTAGAAGAAAAAATTAAACTTTAGGTCATGTAATGATTTGACAGCAAGATAGAAAAGTCAAATTGAAAAAATCTAGCAACACTAAATAGGATTTTATCAATTAAAAATGCAAGAATATAATCTAGATATAATAACTATTAAAGAAAGGCTATTAAGTAAAAGCTAATATATTAATATGAATAAAAAATAAAGAATAAAGAAATATATTTACAAAAGGGTTATTATTTGAATCAGGCTAATTTTATTTATTTTAAAATAAGGTTATTATTTGAATTATAATAGGTAAAAATAATTAAAAGAATAAAGGGAAAAAATACATTAACTTCTAAAAAATAACATATGTGCAAAAAAATTATCAATGTCTTTACTAATATCATTGACTCATTGTAATTAATTCTGAAAACAATATCCTTACTAATCATAATTTTTGGTGAAGATGAAAATTTCAAACAAAAGCAAAAACAAAAAATTACACTACCCAACAATGAAATTTATAATTATAATTTATGAAGAAAAAAAACTTCTTCATCCACCAAAATCATCTCCAAAAAATTTGTTTGCGATGGATTCTTAAACTCTAGCAGTCTCTACAATCTTATTATACGAACTTTTATCTTCCAATCAATTTCTCCTGTTGCAATGTCCTTTAATAATGTAAACCTCTAAGTCATGTCCTGTAAAAAGAAGATAAAAGTAAAAAAGAAAATTTTATTTTAAATAAGGTTATTAAAGAGAAAATATATTAATATGAATAAAAAATAAAGAATTAAAGCAATATATTTACAAAAGGGTTATTATTTGAATCAGACTAAAATTTCATTTATTTTAAAATAAGGTTATTATTTGAATTATAATAGGTAAAAACAATAAAAAGAATAGAAGGAAAAAATATATTAGCTTCTAAAAAAACAACATATGTGCAAAAAAAAACTTATCAATGTCCTTATTAAAATCATTGACTCATTGTAATTGATTATGAAAATAATATCCTTACTAATCATAAATTTTTGGTGAAGATGTAAATTTTAAACAGAAGCAAAAACAAAAAGTTACACTATCCAACAATGAAATTTATAATTGTTATAATTTATGGAAAAAAAATTTCTTCATCCACCAAAATCATCTCCAAGGAATTTGTTTGCAATTGATTCTTAAACTCTGGCAGCACCCACAATCTTATTATATGAACTCTTATCTTTTAATCAATTTTTCCTACTGTAATGTCCTTTAGTAATGTAAACCTCTGAGTAATGTCCTCTAAAAAGAAGATGAAAGTAAAAAGGAATTTTTTTTAATAATATGTTCACTATACATCAACATTGAAACAACCAACCTTTAAAATTAAAACTTCATACAAGCTTACCTAAATCAGAAAGTATGAATCCTCATATTAGAAGTACAAAAGTACCCAAATCAGGGCAATGTATATATAGAGAGAGTATTTTTAGAAATAAATAATATGATAGAATAAGATAATCAGAATGAAGTTTTGAAGAAAAAAAATACCTTAAAAATTAGAAGATAGTTAAGACTAATTAAAATTGAAAAACTGCAACCAATATATAGGAAATAGATATTCATAATTGCTTCTCTGAGTGGAAGACAAAGTGAAAGCAATTTATGGGAAACATATAAAACAAAAAGGAAGAAGGATTTTTCTTCTCTTCAAAAGTACTAAAGGTTTAGAATTTATTAAATTAAAAAATTAAATTTAAAATAATTATAATAAGATAAAGTTACATAAATACCTTATTTTGAGTGGGAAAAGAGAGTATCAGTCTTCCTCCCTTTTATTATAATAAAAATACCCAAAGTCTTAAACAAAGTACAACAATAATTAGCAATGTTTTTAAAACTTAAAGAATGACATTTTTTCATAAATAAATAAATAAATAAAAATAAAACTTAAAGAATGACATTTTTTCAAAAATAAATAAATAAATAAAAACAATATTATCCCGATGTCTAAAAGAGCTTGCCATATTCTGGAATTAATATAAAATGATTTATAAATAATAATTGAAAAATTAAATTAACAATCATAATTAATGAGCTATTAGGCCGAAGGAAGTTGGAGATTGGGCCGACAGTTGTAATAAATGGGTCAGTAGAGTTGGCCTACGAAATAATTTACTGACAGAGGGATGGATGACTAAAAACGCAACAACCATGACTCCATGAGGAACACACACACAGTTCCGTACTCTCGTTACCTAAAAATTCAAATAATATCTCTAAAAAATAATAATAAATATTTTACTCCTTCAAAAATATTACATTTTAATTTTAGATATTCACTTTTGAAACATTGATTTTTATTCCGGTATTTTCTTTTAAAATATCCATTGTTTTGTTGATCCCTGTATAAATTTTTATTTTAGATGTTCATTTATTTTTAAAATTTTTTTTTTTAAATTTAGATAGTTTAGGGACTAAAAATATTATTAATCAATTAAAAAATGCTCATCATGCTTAATACTGTGTTGATTTTTTATTTTTTATTTTATCTTTCATGAATCATGATATATATTAAAAATATATTCAAATTGTTGGGTTTTTTAATACTATTATTAGTATTGTTGTTATTATTTTATCATTTATGATTGTTATAGTTTTAGTTATTATTTTACTTATCTAACTTAAAGGATCATATTTATCAAAAATTTCCTTATACTTGATGCACCTCGAAATTGTCCAGTTATTATCAATATTTTCTTAATCTTTATTTCATGTACTTAAATATATTTTTTTAGTTTTATTTAAAAAGAAGTCTTGTGATGTTATCAAGTCTAATAACCAACCCTAAACATCACTAAGGGGGGTGTATTGGTTTAGGATTTCGTAGGATTCAAACAGAAAGAACAAACACATCAGCAAGAGAAGTTTTAAGGAACCCTCACAATCTAAAGAAGACGAGATACTCACTCTCTAAGCCCCTCTCCTTGTACGCCGAGTTCGCAAGCGACAGGACGAGCTTGCAATCCAGCGGGCGAGGAAGTGCTGCAAGGTTCTTAATAGCGGCCGACTCCGAAGTCGTCAATTCCAACTTCCCCACCCCGTGAAACCTAGCCGGGGTGGAGCACCAATAAAAGGGGAACTTCAGCAACCTGCCGAAGTAGAATGCCCCATCCTCCAACGGATTGACATCCACCAGCACCACCCGAAAAAACTCTTGCTTAAAATTTTTATATGACTGGGAGTAAAGGGTAAATAAACCCCCATCCTTACTCCCACTTAAAGACAACAAGCCATAAGGCGGAACGCCTATTTTCAATTAGAGAGGAATTGGATAAACTTGGTATCCCCTATAAACACCCTGTTGCTGTCACTGGTGTTATTGGCTTCATTGGAACAGGAACCTCACCTTTTGTTGCAATAAGAGCTGATATGGATGCTCTTCCCATTCAGGTTTCATCAATTCTATGTCTTTTTTTTTTCCTGACATGTTTGAACCAGGATTTGACTCTTCTTTTATTTAGTAACTGTTTTATGGTTTTGTTCTATTTGGAGGTAAGGGTAAGACAACAAACGAGTTATGTTTGCCTTTCCTCAAGTTTTATTGACACTATGCACTAAAAACAATAAAATAATTGACAATGTAGATATATATTTCATTGATTTGGTGATGCACCAAGAAGCATAGTGACATGAGCATCATGACCACACGCGTGCATCTTTCCAGGTACTTTACTCTTGTGCTCCCACTCCACCAGTTCCTAAGGTTAAAACACATCACCAAATCAATGAAATATATATCTACATTGTCAATTATTTTATTGTTTTTAGTGCATAGTGTCAATAAAACTTGAGGAAAGGCAAACATAACTCGTTTGTTGTCTTACCCTTACCTCCAAATAGAACAAAACCATAAAACAGTTACTAAATAAAAGAAGAGTCAAATCCTGGTTCAAACATGTCAGGAAAAAAAAAAGACATAGAATTGATGAAACCTGAATGGGAAGAGCATCCATATCAGCTCTTATTGCAACAAAAGGTGAGGTTCCTGTTCCAATGAAGCCAATAACACCAGTGACAGCAACAGGGTGTTTATAGGGGATACCAAGTTTATCCAATTCCTCTCTAATGAGTTTACTTGTCTCAAATTCCTGATAACCCAATTCTGGATTCTCATGAATCTTCCTTCTGATTTTGACCATCCAATCAAATACTTCAGCCTTCTTGGCAATATCTAGAAAGTTTGTGGAGAGTTGGTTTGAGAAATCTGATGATGAGAAGACTGGAGTTGCAGCCAAGACATGGAAAAAGATCAACAAATGGAACCCTTTGAATTTGAAGTAACGCATTGTTTATTAAGAAGACGAGATACTCACTCTCTAAGCCCCTCTCCTTGTACGCCGAGTTCGCAAGCGACAGGACGAGCTTGCAATCCAGCGGGCGAGGAAGTGCTGCAAGGTTCTTAATAGCGGCCGAAACATGTTAGCACGATGTGTTCAACAATGATGGAGATCTATTGGTCTAAAGCAAAATTTATGAGAGATTTTTATACTTAAAATGAAATAACTATGTTTTGGACTTTTATTAATATATGTGGATTTTTTTTATAAAATATAATAATAAATAATTTTTAATGGATGGATCTAAAGCTTAAGTTTATTAATTGCTGTTAGAAAAAAATTAAGATATATGTAGCTTTAAGATATATTTATTGCTGTTAGAAAATAATTAATGAAATCGTTATTTCGATGTTACAATAAAGACCAGATGTAGTTTCATAAAAAAAAAAAAAAATATATATATATATATATAGAAAGACGGTCACTTCAAAATTCAAATTGGTCCTTCCTTCACGCTTAAAGCTCAAACTTGTTACTGAATGTACTTAGGTTTTGTTTGGATTTGAGGATAGAAAATGGGAAGTGAAAAACGAGGATTTTAAAGGGAAATTGATTAGAAAGTGAGGTTGTTTGGATTAAGGAAAAGTGAGTAAAAAATATAGAGAAAGTTTGTGAAAGTTTGTGAGTGAATTGATTGATGTGATAGATAAAAATAAATTTTTTAATTGATAATTTTGTAAAATTACTATTTTTCCCTTAGATTATATAATTATTATAATTAAAAGAAATATAAAAATTTTAACTAAAAAAATAAATATAAAATCTTAATTTAAAAATAATTTAATTTAAATATTTACTTTAAATTTAATGATAAAATTAATTTAAGATTTTTTTTAATTTTATTATTAGCAGTTTTATAATACAAATAAATAATATTATTATTAACATTATTTTATTAATGTTTATGAAAGTGTTATTATTTTAATTTTATAAACATGTATTACTTTATTTTTTTATATTTCCACTTTTTGATGTTAATATTTAAATAATAGAATTTTCCTATATAAAAAAAATGTACAATAAATTTTTTGAAAGTTAAATAATAAATTAAAAAAATTGAAAAATCATTAACATAAATTAGAATGAAATGAACATACATTTGTTAATTGTACAAGTTAATTTTTACCAATTAAAAAATTAAGAAATTTTTAACATTACAAAGTAGATGGGTTATAACATATTTGTAAAATGGAACAGAAAATACAATTCACTCATCAATTAAGTAAAGAATAATTAAATATGACATAAAATAATAGAAATGAAAAATGTTGCAACTAAATAAAACATATTTAAAAATTTCATATCCAGAACGGCCCGTTCTCAGACTAAAACAGCCCGTTCTGGGATTACAAATTAACCCACAACGGCCATGTGTGAAACGACCATTTCCTAAAATGGAACGGCCCGTTCTGAGTTCGCATATTGCTTATAAAATCCAGTTTTGGAACGGGCCGTTTTTAGTTCGCCTGGAAGCGAAAATGTGCCACCATAATCGATTATGTATGTCGCATAATCGATTATGGGTTGCCATAATCGATTATGTCTCAGCATAATCGATTATGTGACCCATAATCGATTATGTGGCATGCATAATCGATTATGCTTCATTCCTACCCTCCCTCATGCATAAAAAAAATGAAGCTTACCTACAATGGCACAGTCTCTGCATGCATTGGGCAGAGGTATTATCGAGTTTTTTCAAATCTTACGTAGTTTTTATCTCTTTTCTTCGCAAAAGCGCGAGGACTGCAACGCGGCTTCTCCCGCTTTTCTTCACCTTTCTTTCCTCACAAATTAACAGAAATAAACGTCCATTTTTTTCGTCTTTCGTTTATCGTGAACAATAAATCAGCATAACAGTACACTACCTCAAAGTTCAAACAACCAACAATGGAAAATGACGGGTAAAAAAGGGACGAAGATGGCAGAATAATTCAGACAAAGTTCAAAGGAAAAGACGTATGGGCTCAAGTAGCTTCTGTCACCTATATAGGGAATAGAAAGAAAAATATATATATACATCTTAAAGCAATTTGGGTCGTACAATTTTAGGGTAGCAAAAGAAAAAGATTGTGTCATAGTTTTAAAAACCGGACCGGTCATCAAATCAGTTAAGGTACTGGGTCAGTGGGTCAAAGGTTGAACCGATGGGTCACTAGTTGAATCGCATGACTTGATTTTTATTAAAAAATATTTATATTAAATATATTTTATACTTATAAATTTTAATAAATTCATATCTTATTTTAAATTTCAATTTTTCTATCTTATTTAAAATTATTTTTATTTTTATTTTGTAAAAAAATACATAAAAAAATTACATGTTAAACGGTATATTAATACAAATTAAAAATATAAATAATATGTACATATATAATATGCTTGCAATTAATATCACAAAATAATATATGTAATATTTACATAGATATTGCATTATTAAATATATAATTTAAAATTAATAATATACTATAAAAGTTATTTAAGTTGTATATATTGCAAACAAATATATTAGAACAAGTAGTCATTGTTATATTTAATAAGACTCCTTGCTTTTTCATTAAGAGATTCAATTTTCATTATTATTTTTGTGATTTATGGTCCCTTAAAATTTTTTTAAAAAAAATAAGAAAAAAAAGTGGTTGAACCGGTTTGACCCACTGGTTCACCGGTTGAACCGGAAAATTGACCGGTTCAATCCGGTTTGAAACGGGTCGACTGCATAACCGATCCAACTTCAGATTTGAACCAGCTGGACCACCGGTTCCCGGTCCAACCGGTCCGACCGGCCGGGTCGGTCCGAGTTTTAAAACACTGGATTGTGTACTTCAACCCAACTAATTCCTTTCTATCACAATTTAATCTACACTCACCTAATTAAGTAATTTGATGTTCAACTATATTTTTTAATACACATAAAATAAATCCTATTTTTAATAGGCAACCTTTTTAATATTTAACCTTACTATTTTATTTCACTTCACAAAAAATAAATACCATTTATCTAAATTCGTGATATTTTAAAAAAACTAAATAATTATAAGATCTTTTAATTGTTATAGTTTAGTTTTTTTTTTACACCAATGTTTTAGTTTAGTTAGAAATACAATTATGCAAATAGCTGCAGACGCAATTAACAAAACTATTAACCAAAATAGTAGCAAGCAACTAAAATATTAATTTATTCATATTTTAATTAGAAAATATTATTTTTATCTAAAAGTAAATGTACTTTATTTATATCACATCCCTCCTTTATTTAAGATAATCATGACACTTTACACTTCTTTCTTTTTTCACTTTTTACAAAAACTAACTAAACAAAGTATAAATAAATAAATAAAAACATGTTTCTTTCTTTTTCATTTTTATATAACTTAAAAAATCATTTCACTTTTTTTTTACCTTCATTTTTCTCTTTTTTTCCTATATCAAAATAAATTTTTAACATGAAGCAGTATAAAATATCGTACATGGATGAAACATTATTTTTAACAATTGAATATATTATTTAAAAATTGAATGGCTGAGATTTGTGACCAGCAATCGGAAGGTTTGATTTTATTCCAAATCCTAACTCCCAAATCTCCATTGTCCTTTACCGCAGCTCGCGCATGTCGACGTTCTCGTCGTCCATGGCCTTGCGTGATGACAGTGGTGGCGATGTAGGAGGGGTGGATGGGGCTAGTGCTGGTGGCGACGATGATCGCTTCTCTCTCCTCAAGGCTCGCAGATCCAAGGTCCTCCACCCTCGCGCGCATCGACGTTGTGAGACCCGTAGCTGATATACATATTTTTCCCCCCTAACTCTCACTCAAACCCTCCCTTTCACTATCTTTTTCCCTCTCCATTCTCATTTGGCTAAATTCACTCTCGTTGCTTGGAATTCAAGGTGCTGAGTAGGTGTTTAGGAGCTTGCTGACGCCCAGAATTCTTCTTCCTTCTTCATTCACCATCTCTTTCAAGCTTCTTCTTCCTTGTGCCTCCTGGAGCTCGGAAATTTTGGAACCGAGGTAAGGGAAGCTAGTTTTCTTCGCTGTTTTTGGATGCCATTGAGTTCAAGTAACTCAATAGTTGTTGAAGAGGTTGATTCTTGGCTGTGATTGAAGGAAATTTTCGTTTTTGGGTTTCCGGGGTTTGGGTGCAAATCTTGGGGATTTCACTTGTTTGATGGTTGCATGTTGGAAATGAAGTGTTTTTCTTAATGCTTGATGAAAATGCTAGTTTTTGCTTGGTTTGCATGCTGGTTTTCTAGTTTTTTTGCAGGGTTGGGTGAAATTTTTGAACTTGCTGGTGTTGCTGCTGAGCTTTGCGCTGAGCCCAGTTCTTCGCGCCGAGCGCGTGGCCACCAGGGGACTCCATTTAGGCAAGCCCACCGGGCGCAATGATGGGTGCCCCGGGCACGCTTGCGAATGTGGGTCTCTGGCTGGTCCGCGCTGGGCGCGATACCAGTTGTAATATATTTTGGGATTCTTGGTTCGGCGCTGAGCGTGACCCTTGTCGCGCTGGGCGTGAGACTCATTGAGAGTCTCTGCCTTGTGGACGCTGGGCGCAATTTGTATTGCGCTGGGCGCGAGACCTCGGGGAGGTCTCTGCCTTCCCCGCGCTGGGCGTGGGTTTGGGCACGCCGGGCGCGTGAGACTCCTTGGAATCTCTGCCTGGCATGCGCTGGGCGCAATTGGTTATTGCGCTAGGCGCGTGAGAGCCTTGGGCTCTCTGGTTGAGTCCCGCCGGGCGCGGGAATGCTTGCGCTGGGCACGTTGGCCCCCTGGTGCTCTCTGGTTGTACCGCGTTGGGCGCAACCACGAGTGCGCTGGGCGCGAAGACTTGATTTCACTAAATGCTATTAGAGGTTGTTCTATGTTGAATGTAAGCCGAAATTGATGAACATGATGCATTGATTAGTAGATAATGATGTTGATGATGTTGAGCTGTGTTAGATGCAATTGTTGTA